GCCCTGGAGCGACCAAGGACCCACGCGCTGCTGACGAGCGGTTGTCGGAGAGTTTGTTAGGAAGGAGGAGGTTGTCAATGATGGAGAGGATGGGAAGAATCCCCTTCATTCGTATCTAGTTTTATTTTCTTCCGTTTAAGCTGTGAAGAGCAGCGACAATTGTTGCGCAGAGCCAGGTTCTGGACCGGACTGCGACTGGTGGATGGTGCACTGAAGAGTTTGGTCTGTAGTTCCCTTTTACTTCCAAATAACTTCTCTATGCTGTTTGTCAGAGAAATAAAATTGTGTACAAAAAAAAAAAAAAAGGTCCAAACCCGGAATTAAATAGGGATGCAATGGGAAGTATGCTAGCATAGGTTAACGCGAGTGCATTCGGTATGACATTTTTGCGTGGTTAGGGCTAATGTCTCCGTCTCTGGGAAGGAGCGATTAGCGAATGATCGACAAATGCTCATTTCTCTCAAGCATGACGATTTGACCATTGTTGTATGGTACCCTCAGTGACGTTGGGGAAAGAAACGGTGGATGAAATAAACTTATTTGTCCAGGTTAGACCCCATCAGCAGGCATGATTTGCATGTCCGACGTACATCGAAATACGATGGTCGTTGTGGCTATTGTGGCTGAACAAACTTTATTTGCGGAGAGTGAAAGATCAATCACAATGCAGATCAATCACAATGCGCCAAATATATAGTTTTCTGATCGAGTTATCATAGGAGGCCTTTCACGTCCAAATTATCATATGATGTCTGTTACATCTCTGTAGATCTCGACGATATCCATAGCGACTATGAGATGAGAATGTATATATGATACCAAGCATGTAAGACAACCATTGTGACATTTTTTGTTTGACTATCCTACTAAACACCATGATATTCTTCAAACAACAAAGTCTTCTTTTTTTTGCACACCAATCTCTTGAATGTCTCCATCCACTATTAAACTGTACCCATCACTGCGAGATTAAGGGGAGTAGTTCTTGTATGTGATCATCTAAAGCACCTATACTCTCAACTGTATCTTTGTCGTGAAATACAAGGGAGAGATTACATTTTAAAAAATCTTGTGCTGTCTATTGCTATTTTATTCCGTGTTCTGTTGCCCACTATAAAGAGATATGTCAGCTATGGAAGTCAACACTCCGTTCCTTGGGCTTTGGATACTTTTTATATGCCTTTTTATATCCTCTGCACATGAAGGGGCCGCATAGACGGGGCGTTTTCTTTGTTTGAGTCGTGATCGACGAAAGGTCCAACACTTTTAGGTCGCTTGTGGCTAGTCTTGCGCTGAGTTCTTTTTCTTGATTGCATTACGCGATTTGTTTGCCCCTTCAAACCATCAGCATCATGGAAGGTCATCACCTCCCCTAGACACAACGGCGGTCTTGGAGTTATTGATCCGGCCAAGCAGCAGCAGACCTTCCTCATCAAGCACCTTCGCAACGCCACAACTACGTCAGTATCCTGGGGGAAGGATATTGTACTGGATCTCATTCTATGGAAGACGAAGTCCACCCACCGTCTATCCTTTATGCTGAACCCCCAAGAGAACCAACTCCACCAACAACTTAAACATTTCCCCCACCTTCTGCAGCTAGTCAAAGCGGCCAGCACACTCCCCCCGCTCAAGACACCCACCATGCAAGCAGGACTTCCAGGTTCGACCACTTTTCTGGAAAGCCCGCTGGAATGGTGGTTCCCTTCGATAGGTAATGACAACACCACTCTCACCGCACGGATTGGAGACCTGTTCGAGTTGGAGATAGACGGGAATAACAAGTTCAAGGTGGCATACAAGCGCCGACTCTCCCGGAAATCGAAGTGTATAAGAGACGAACTCATTACACAACTTGCAGGAACTAATACTCGGCGGATGTCACAAGCATACCTGGACGCGATACAGACACCGCATGCTGGAGTCGTCGGAGATCGCCTGGCTCAGAGAATACGCTCACTCATCCTCCTCGACAACGGCAAGACAAAGGTAACTTTAGGGACTGCCTCCACCAGACAGATCCGACAGTACCTGTCCCCGACTCCCGAACCCGAACCTCCCCCGACCCCCTCGACGATGCACCCTGAATCCGGCACCAAGTCCCAATGGCGCAAGTTCTGGAAAACCAAGATTCCACATAGAGCCAGCACTTTCTGGTGGCGATACAAGCGTGACATTATCCCATGTGGCACGTTTCGGGCCCACAGGTGGAAACAGGACGCCCATTGTGACGCTCAGGGATGCAGGGAAAGAAAGGCGGACAAGAACCACCATGTCTTCGGATGCAAGGGCAAGTACCTAGCATGGCAGTTCATTTTGCGAGAATACACGGACAAGCCCACATGGTCCGATGAAGATCTCCATACTTTGCTCTCCTTTAAACCCCCCATCTTTTCCATTAAGCCCAAATACACATCACCCCTCCACAATTGCTGGCGTGCTGCCTTATAGGTATAAACACAGCAAACACCATCCTCTTCCTCCACAAACACACACAGTCATCGGAGGATATCTCTGACTGTATTTCCATAGAAATTAAGAAAGCCATAGCGCAAAACGTCTACATCTTCAACCATACGGCAACAAGCCACAAATAAAACCTTAGAAAATCAAAAAAAAAAGGATTAATATATTCTCACAGGGCTGTGTGGCCTTATTCTCACAGGGTAATATCACATCCATCAATGTAAAGTCCAAAAACGCAATATGAAGTAGCCCTTTCACTTTAGATACCTATTGTGCCTCATAAAGAGGTGCATCGATTGGTATAAGAATGGACATGATTGGGGTTCTGGTTCAATGAAATATTGGCATCAAAGTCTTTGTCAATTATAGGACCATTAGATGGTCAAAAAAGTTAAATTTGGTCGAAGAAAGCAGGAGTATGAAGGTGGTAGGCCATGGCAACAATAGTTAGGATGGCTTCAGAGAGTCTTGAAGTGATTGCGAGCAGTTTGAGAAAAAAAAGTAGAGAAACTGTTTTTGCACAAAGACCATGTCACCTTCTTCATGCTAAGCCCATGTAAATTTTTAGGACCCTGTGAGAATAAGACTTCACAGGGCTGTGAGAATAACTTCATCCAAAAAAAAAACCACACTACCAGCAACCTGTTGTTGGTGCCTGTCCGTCCTAGTGACTCACCTAAGCTTCCATGCAGAAAAAACACGTGACACTAGGATCAGAGTGCGAGGGAACAAAAGGTTGATCACCCGGAAGTCCCGATGATTATGGGAGAACAGCGTCTACCACCCCGAGTGGATTGAATAGACAGTAATGTTCCGTGCCCGCACCTGAATCGAAAGGTCTTTACCAGGCTATAAGATTGGAAAAGGTTTCGCTTCCCTGGACTTTGTGCCAAAAAAAAAAAAAAAAAAAAATCACTCGGCTATACCCAGCCAACACCTAGCCAAACGACGACTTTTGTCCTTCAAAGTCGTAGTATACTTAAGGGCTGTGTACCTTGGATTGTTACAAAAAGATGTGGTGGCTAGGCAGTGGCGGCGATGCCTTAGGTTAGCAGTCCTATTCTTTAGTAGACATAGTATTAGTAGTGCGCCGAGCCCTCTTGTCTGCTCTTTGTCCTTTTACACATCACTTGGACGAGAGCAGTATTGACAAGAGTTTCGCTGGCACGCTGCAGGTAACAACCCCCTCTTTAATAATATGAATACAAGGTCCTTTTACACATCACTTGGACGAGAGCAGTATTGACAAGAGTTTCGCTGGCACGCTGCAGTGTATCGTTTTGTGTGATTCTTTTAGGACGCTATTATCACTTCCCCTCCCTCCAACCTACAACCCCCTTCCCCCCTCCGTACCAATTGAGGACCTAACAGCGGTCCTACAACTCTGGCCGTCGACCCTCTCCCCTGAGTAACAGGATCTCTCTTCCCTTTGGACTTTGAACTTTGACTTTCACCAACAAATAATTAAATGAAATGAAACGCAATGAGTAGAAAGCGGTGGGTGAACAAGACAAGAGGAGGAGGAATGAGTTAGCGAGTCAGTGAGAAAAGATTAGCGAGCGAGGAATGAGATGATTGATTGCTTGAGCGAGGGTTGGAATGGAATGGAATGGAATGGACGAGCGAGAGAGGAGTGGACGACTTGCTTGGTGGCGGGACGTGTTTAGTGGCAGTAGACTTGGTGGCGGCAGACTTGGCGGCATGCAGCCTTGGTCGTCGCGTTGACGCGCGCGCGCGACTATGACAAACAAAGTAGGCAGGTGGTGAGAAATGGATTGCTGGGCGCGAGGAATGAGAGGGCAAGTGAGTGAAGGATGGAGATGGGATAATAAAATGGAATGGATGGAATGGATGGGATGGGAGGGATCGGATTGAGGAGATCAGGATGGGATAGGATGGGATGGGATGGGATGGATGGGATGGGATGGATGGATGGAAAGAGCAAAGCCTGAGTTGAAGACCTACTTGGTGGCGGTAGACTTGGTGGCGAGCAGCCTTGGTTGGGCTCGACTTGTGCGACTATGAAGAACAGAGCAAGAGGTAGATGGTGAGAGATGGATTGCTGGCGTGAAGAATGAGAGACCGAGCGAGCGCAGGATGGGGATGGGATAAAAATTGCATGGGAATAGTACAGTGGCACCAGTCGGGTCCCCTTAACCGTCCCAATGAAGTTCTACAGGCTGTGAAAGTGGCTCAAAAATTTTTATATGTGATTTGTACACAAACCCTAACAAACCCTAAAAAATCCCTAAATCTCGACAACCAGGTTGGTAACCTCTCCGCATATTGAAATTTTATTGAGAAAACCGACAATTTTGGTTTAGAATAGCCGGGTTGGACGTGTAAACATGGGCCCATGGTGGATATTTTAACAATATAGTTTAGTCCAGTTTTTTTACACGGGATTTTTGACAACGAATAGTCTCAGAGCCTGCAATTTTATTGGGATCGTTAAGGGAACTAACTCCACTGGTGGACACAAGGGGACATGGTCGGACATGAGCCTGGACACGGCCGAAATTTGGAATCGTAGTCTACACAACAGGTGCTTTCACAACTGCCTGGTATGGTTGACTATCACCCTGGCAAACTGGGACATTTCCAAATGAAATGTTTCTTGCAATTCCCAATGGTAACAACTTTGGTGCCAACTTCACAGTGCTTGCTGATTGATCATGCTGCAGCATATAGAACCCTTTAGTTCTCTTGCCAGCTGCGTACTTGTTCAAACTCTTGGTCATCAAAGCAATCTTTTTAGAATCTGACAATTCTGGGTCCCAGTCATTGGTGTCAAATTCATCACCAGTCCAGTCTACAACAAGATATCCCAACTTCTTCAACACGTAACGAACGCGGTTGTTGATGTCTCCGAAGGGAGGGCGCATGTACTTGAGACGAAGGCCAGTGGCTTCGAGTACGGCCTTTTCAGTCCACTTCATCTCAGCAACGATCTGCTCGTTAGTGAGAGTGGTCAACGCAGTGTGTGACCAGGTGTGAGAGGCCAAATGATGGCCCTCAGCAACCTCGCGCTGGACATGCTTGGGGAGAGCAGCAACGTTGGAACCGATCAGGAAAAAGGTCGCATTAAGATGTTTAGACTTGAGGTAGTCCAACAAAGCAGGTGTGGCTGCTGTAGGACCATCGTCAAAAGTCAAGCCCCAAGTGTTGGCACGTGGGCAGACGGTGATGTCGTCGGCTGCACAGTCAAAGCAAGTCCAGTGGCACCTGAGAGGATGAATAGGAAAAGACATGAGTGATTAGATGACTGCCGATAACTCCAAAAAAATTAACCATCTGAAAAAGGCGACATACTCATTAGGAAGCTGACGCTTATTGCACTTGGGAGCATCTCCTGGTATTCCCTTAGCGATGGGGATCTTGGGTGCACCACTGAGATCAACCTCCTTGAGCCATGCCTTGACCTGAGCTGATTTGACATCAGGGACCTTCTCGCTGGGTGGGTAACCTTTTAATTGGGCTTGAACGGTAGCAAGGACCGTTGCTAGGACAGTAATGGAGACTAAATATTTGACCATATTGGGTTTAGTGTGAATTTTTTTTTGTGGTGAGGGGTATGAACAGTGGGATGGAAAAAAAATGTAAAAAGGTAAAGAGACATGGGAAAATGGGCAGACAGGGGGGATTAATAAAGACAAAAAAAGTGAGCATGAGGTAAAACTGGGCAAGATGTTAGATTGGCTACCCAGAAATAGATGCAACCAAGGCGCAGGCTCTCGCTAATCGGGCTCAAGGACATTGCAACATATTAGGTTTATCATTGCTCTCTAGTTAGTCATTCCTTGTCACTCTCTATCTGCAACATATTAGGTTTATCATTGCTCTCTAGTTAGTCATTCCTTGTCACTCTCTATCATCTCTGACTCACTACGACACTACACCTAGAAACCTAGTTGGCGACTTTGTATATATATTTAGTTGTACCATAGTAATAACATCAATCATCACTGCTTCAACTCTCGTCCCCGTTCTATACTTCTCTGTCCCAGTCTTCGCCTGTTGCAGACATGCGCATGAAGGCAAAATATTAGATTGGCTACCCAGAAATAGATGCAACCAGGGCGCAGGCTCTCGCTAATCGGGCTCAATGCGACAGGATCCTCCCCTTCCTACACGCCCACCACCACCACCACCCTACCCCCCCCACCTCCTTTCTTCTCTGACCTTTCCTCTCCTCCCTCTCCTTCCTCCTCCATCACCGCGCCCTCGGCATCCCCTCCCGGCTCACACACACTCTCTCCTTCCTTTGTCCCTACACTCTCGGAACCCTCTTCCGAACCATCATCACCATCAACAACAGCCTTCATTACGCCCATCCGCCGCACCTCACCCCGTATCCCCCGCGCTCCCTCTTAGACTAGTATATATAGATCCCATTTTGGCCACTTTAATACAGTATCCTTTTCTCAGCTCCTCTTGTCTCCACTGCCTTGTCTCCTATCCACTTGTCTCTCTAGCCCTCCCTTGTCCACTGTTATTTCCTTGTCTGTTGCTGTTACACTCAAGGACATGCGCATGAAGGCAAGATATTAGATTGGCTACCCAGAAATAGATGCAACAAGGGCGCAGGCTCTCGCTAATCGGGTTCAAGGACATGCGCACGAAGGCTCGTTACAGAGTCTCCCAAGTAGAGGATAAGGCTGGGAGGCTGCAGGCTTAGAAATGGAGTGAATGAATGAGAGTAAAGACTGCAGTGTCCCAGACGGCTTTCGGACATGCGGAAAAGTCCGCATTTTTGGTAGCACAAAGTGAAGATTTGTACGTATTTTTTGCGGATTTCAATGAGGATTTATTCGCATTGCATTGCTCTCTCTAGGACTTCCGCACCACTTCCGCACAATCCGTATTGTGAGCATTGAACTATAAACTTGGAAGAGACGTTGTTCCTGAATGACTTAACAGTGTGAATGTTGCCAAATGTACAGTACCGGTACAGTGCCCCCCGCTTAAACGACACTTTTCTGACGTTTACAAGAACAAGAAATCAGCCATAATCTACAGTCATTACATTAATGGGTCCAATGAATTTGACTTTTTGACATGAATGAACTTTTTTCTTTCTTCTTCTCATCCATCCATTCTCAATCAGCCCAAGTAGCTTCCCTTCATTCTTCTCTTTTGCTGTATGCCGTAGAAATAAAATTTACTCTGACCAATCAACAACGCCATCGTATAGAAGCCATGCAATTCATTGAGACTGTTGTAGCAAAAGGGAGTTATGATAATAAAGTAGTGAAGGGAAAGTGTAGAAAAGGATGTGTCAAGGAGGTGAGCGGGACAGAAACGTATCCTCTTTATTTTGGAATCTGTCTCATATATTAAAATCAATGTCTCTTTATCACATGATATACACCAATTTTCTGTAATTGCATAATTGCACAACCGCGTGGCGTCTCCATGCTTGACATCATGTTATCGATAACATCACCCCTTTTTTTTAACCCACCCCTTCTTTTCTTTTACAACAACAAAAACTGCAACAGAAAGCAACAAACAACAATAGCAACAACAGCAAGCAACAAACGACACCAGAAACAAAAAAGACATCCACCAGCATGGCATGGACAAAATGAGACATGAGAATGCAGACGCAGCATGGAATGGACAGACATGAGGATGCAGCTTGGCATGGACAGACATGAAGATGCAGCTTGGCCCTTTTTTTTTAAAAAAAATGCACCAGACTCATGATGTTAACACCAAAGTGAGAACGTCACTATCAGAGTGGGTTGCGTACGCATATTACCCCCTCTAAGGTGTGAAATAAAATATTCCTCTCTTTCTTTCCATTGACATATTCGACCATACACCATCCTTTTCAGCATGGACAGACATGAGGACTCAGCTTGGCATGGACAAACACGAAGACGCGAGCACACATACCACAAGGAAGAACAGGAATGAAGAGAACACAGACGCCAATCTACTGAGCATGGTCAGTGAACAGTAGGGTAACGGTATGTCGTGGCACAAGGAGAGTGAAGAGGTTGTATTATTTCTCTTTTAGAAAAGGGTAAGCGTCTCATAATTCTCAGTATCGATTGTCATTAATCCTTGACCACATTTTGACATATCTTCTACAGTCTCAAATTTTATCCTCTTCAACATGCGCAAACCATCCACGCCTCTTTATACCCGTACCGGAACCCGTTCTTCTGCTGCTGCTCCAAAGTAAGTCTATGTCAGTGTCTATATGCAACTATGTTATTTATGTTCATTTCTGTTCATCCCTGACCTTTAGTACTGTTTCCTACTTATCGCAGGCAACAGTCCTCTTTGAGCCCTAAGGTCTTGGTTCGGCTGCTGCAGCGCATTGTAAAGGGCGCACCACTCTCCATAATCGCAGGCGCTGCAATACAGACGAACCGTAGAACGACAATGCAACTATCGTGAATGTCTCTGATCCAACCCCTGATGTCCCCGTCAACAACATGACCTCTGATATCGACAGCAGAAGCATCTTGATCTCAACGGCTCCTGTTCATGACCCTGTCCCCGACAACATTACGTATTTTGAGGATGCGTATACACACCTCCGGGGTTTCAAGCCCAAGGTTGCCACTGTTGTTCCCCACCCCAACGCCAACTTCAAAGGTAAGTGGACGTCGATTAAGGGTCTTTTTCAGGACCAACTCAACTCAAGACCAGAAGCAGGAGCAGGAGCAGAGGCAGAAGCAGGAGCAGGAGCAGGGGCAGAAGCAGGAGCAGAAGCAGGTTGCAAAAAACGTCTCTAGCAACAATACACCTACTATCGCCGTCCCTGTCACTGGTCAGGACACGGACAAAGACTATGGATTCAATGACGACAATGATTTCATTGACGTCCTGAGTGATTTGCTGACGAATGGCAATTTGACAATGTCTTTTCAATAGACATTTACGATGCCTACCAAAACGGCACCATCAATAGCGATCGCCCGCCCATTCTTGGGACAACCTCGGTTAAGTTGGACAAGCGACGGCTAATGATTGTTGAAGAGGAGACTGATGAGGAATCAGAAGCGGCACCATCATCCACCACCATTACCACCAGCACCACCAGTACCACCAGCACTAGCGGTACTAATTCCAACGCCAACGTCTGCAGCTCCAACAGCATCACGAACACGTGCACGCCAGTTCCCACCTCCAGAAGCATGTGCACCAAGTGTGGGTGTGATGGCCGGAATCCTGTCGGCCACCTTGAACATCTTGCCAGGTCTTTTGGGACTAAGAGGGCGACCTTGGATGCCTGTGCCGGAAGGTGTAACCAAATAGAACTGGCCGATAATCTCCCGACAGAGATCGACAATAGCTGGGTCGTGCCTCACAATCTTTGGCTGGCAACCAAGTTCAACACCCACCTCAATGTCGAGATATGGTTTTACGTCTCTGCCGTGAAATATTTATACGAGCACATCCGTAAGGTATGTCTTTTGTTCATTGCCCCCTTATTTCTATCAAAGCAAAAGAAACAATAGTATCGCAGCACAGAAGTCAAAGCATCAATGGACATACACAAATTTCTATTTTTCATTTTTCATTTTCCCAATGGACCGAGCAGAGCCAAGATCGCCCTCGAAAAAGAAGGGTCTTCTGTTTGCCTACACTGATCAATCCCATCGTCGTCTTTGCATCCACCAGCACCAACACTAGCACTAGCACTAGCACCAGCACCAGCAGCAGCGCCGCCACTGCTACAGCTACCGCTACAGGGTATAACACCACCGCCACTGAAGGCTCAATCGCTGCACACCAAAAAAAATGCAGCAAGCAAGGAGGTACTTTTTTTGCGCATTTTTTTCCCTGGATGTCTGACCATTGCAACTCCTTGCTTACTATTTTTTCTCACTCTCTTTTTGTTTGCTATCGTTTGTATAATAGCATCCTTCACGCATCGAGATTCGCGAATTTCGCGATATGAGATACCTCTCTTCCCATGAAAGCATGTGGCGCGTCCTTGGATATCCTTTGTACGGTCGTTCACCTGCTGTGCAACGTCTACAGGTCCATCTCATAGGCCAGCACAACGTCACCTTTGACAAAAACGCGGATCTACTTTGTGTCATCCGCCGTAACAACGACAGTCAACTGATGGCCTACTTTAAGCTGAACCAAGAGGACAAGGACGCACATAAATATACATACGCCGAGATTCGCGAGCATTACACCTACGACCAAAACAATCGCAAGTGGGACAAGAGGAATCAAAAGGACACCCTCAAGATTGCCCGGATCTACTTTGTCCAGCCTAAGGACGGCGAGAGGTTCTGTCTCCCTTCTCTGGCGGCCTTTCCCACTATGCCACAAGACATCAGCGACAGCATTCTCCGCTACATCCCAAAGTCCGCCTCTGACCACAGCGAAAAATCGCATGAAGAGCTCGCCAAGCTGGCGGGCCTCACATTCAAACCATGAATGTCGAGCATTGGGTAATATTTGACGAAGTCATCGCCTCTGTCTCCACACCCGTCCGCCCCCAAAGGACCGACCTCTATTTTATTGACGGACCAGGTGGCACCGGCAAATTCTTTCTCTA